AAGAAAGAAAGAAAGAAAGAAAGGAGATAGAATAGAGAAATTCCCTAAAGATGGGCTCCAGCACAAGTACGAAAGCTCGGAAGAGTAAACCTCTGATCCCAGTGACTGATCCAAATTCGATGTTGCATCATTATCCTGGGACACGTATATTTGCCTTCATTCGAAATGTCTTGTCTGTTTCTCACAGCCAAAACAAAAGCTGTGAAAATTAAATGGGCCTGTTTTTAAGGCGTCCCAAGACCCATTTGTCACTTTTCCTAGCGAACTCAAATATAGTTGGGGGCAAACTGATCCAAGCAGACGATAGGCGAATTTTTATTTATTTGTTTGTTTTGTTTTTTGTTATCGGAAGTATTTTTGCTCCTATGGCTTAAAGTAAAGTACTGTGCAAGCTAATAAATAAATAAATAAAAAATAGAATTATTATTGTATAATAAACATATAATATTGTAATTATTATATGTTCTAATAATTATTGTTATAGACCATAACTCTAATTAAAATTAGATTTATGATCTATGACATCGTTTTGTTGATTGTATGGACACGGTGAGCTTCTGCACCTGAGACAAATTCCTTGTGTGTCCAATCACACTTGGCCAATAAAGAATTGAATTCTATTCTATTCTATTCTATTCTATTCTATTCTATTCTATTCTATTCTACAATGTCTATTCTATTCTATTCCATTTTCTATTCTATTCTATTCTATCCTATCCTATCCTATCTTATCATATCCTATCCTATATAAAAATTGCCCTTTGGCTTGGTTTTTATGAAAATGCCAGTCAAACAAGGCACAATCTAAAAGGTTAGATTTAAAGCTCAGCAGATAAACTCACCTGTTTGATGTCTTCGTTCCTTGGAGGTGTCGGATCCAGGAAAGAAACTCTGAAAGTTTCTTGTGCCTTTTTCCAACTTCCCAACGCAGAAATGCTACGGGAGGCCTGTCATTCGTGAGGTCACAGCCAGCCCCCAATCTGAGAGAGGCGGATTCAGACTATTTGGGCAAGAGAACTGTTGAATGCTGAATTTATTATCTTCCCTGCCAAATAAAATGAGCATCCTCTTTGGACTGCATCTGCCCCCTACAGGAAGACAGGGGACATTGCAAGAGCATCTCACCCAGTATGCTATACAGCAGGGGTCACCAACCTCCAGTCCATGGACCAGGACCGGGCCGTGGCATGCCAGCAACCGGTCCGCACAAACAAGCAAAGCCCATCTGCGGGGTGCAGGCAGCACACAAAACCACACACCCTCCGGTCCATGGAAAAACCTCTCTCCACCGAACCAGTCCCTGGTGCCCAAAAGGTTGGGGATCTCTGCTTTACAAGCATGGCTATTGTAACTATTGGCTGCATTTGCCCTTAACACTAAGCTAGCAATTTAAGGATGGTTTAACGCCCTGGCATTGCCTAGTTCAGGGGTCCCCAACCCCCGGTCCGTGGACCAGGCCGCGGCATGCCAGCAACTAGTCCGCACAAACAAGCAAAGCCCCATCCATGAGATGCAGGCAGCACACAAAACCAATCACCCTCCGGTCCGTGGAAAAACCTCTCTCCACGGAACCGGTCCCTGGTGCCCAAAAGGTTGGGGACCTCTGCTATACAGGTAGTCCTGGACTTACACCAGTTCATTTAGTGACCGTTTGAAGTTACAACGGCACTGAAAAAAGTAACTTATGGTTGTTTTCCCACACTTATGACCATTGCAGCATTCCCATGATCACGTGATCAAAATTCAAAGGCTGGACAACTGGTTCATATTTATGACAGTTGCAGTGTCCCAGGTTCATGTGATCCCCTTTTGCGACCTGTACGGCATCATAGAAACCTGTCATATTTTATGGATGTCCCTCTAAGGCAGTGATGGGGAACCTTGGCTCTTTTATGACTTGTGGATTTCAACTTCCCAGAATTCCTGAGCCAACCATGCCAGGAAGTTTCTCCTTAATTCTAGGTTGCTTCTCTCTTTGTTCAGTTTCCAACCATTGTTTCTTGTCCTGCCCGCTGGTACTTTGGATAAACTGCTTTCCATAAAAACAGCTTAAAATAGTTCAATTGAAATCCATGGGTTAGGAATTGGGGACTCCAGCATCAGTTTAGCTCTGCCCTCTAGTGAGGGCAGTGGTGTTGCTTTTTATGAAATATGGCAGTTCTTTCTTCCACAAATGATTTCATATTATGATTTTATTCAATCTCAGAAAGCGTCTGGCAGCAACTTTTCCAGCCTATCACCTTTGATTAAAAGGCGTCAGCTTTCACAAAAGCTGATGTGTTTTAATCAAATGCGTTTGTTGGAGAAGGTGCTAGCAATGTTTTCCAACCTTTGCAATAACTTGGGTGATGATGGCTTGGGAATGCATGTGTGTATCTTCTTTCACAGCCCCTCACTGGCTATTTCCTGAACAGCAAAATAACTCAACATTGCACTTGCATCCTGGTTCTCAGTAGCCCTAAATCCTGCCTTTTTGCAATTAACAGGGTTTGCATTCAAAACCTCCAGACTCACCTTGCAGGCCACAGCGACCACCACAGGCTACACCAGTATTTTCCAAACTGAACAACTTTAAGAGGTGTGGACTTCAACTCCCAGAATTCCCTATCCCGCAGGAATTCTGGGTACTGAAGTCCACACCTCCTAAAGTTTGCAAAAGAGGCCCAGTTTGAAAGACCTTGCTAAGTTTGAAAAGAAATCTCGGGATAGCTTAACACCCCGTGCATTTGGAATTATTATTATTTTGCAAAACTAAACCAAATCCTCCTGTCGTAGAGATAGGAAAGACAAACGAGTGGCTTGGATTACATTCATTTCCGGGCCCGATGCGACATACGCAACGGGAAGTGGAAGACTCAGCCCCAAAGCCCTCGAAGCACTGAAAGGAGAGCTGCTTGGGGATCTCCTTTAGGCAGAAGTGGTCACATAAACCCCCTACAGGATTTCAAACAACACGATAAATGCTTCCCCTATATTTTTTTTTTCTCCTGCCCCGCAAGGTCCGTTGGGAACCGCTAGTGTTTCTCTCTCCTCCTTGCACACCTACGAACGAACCTCTTTGGAAACAGAGCAGAGGCAGTGGGAAAGCCGCACGCCACGCCCTTCCCTTGCCCGTCACAAAAATGGCGGCCGGGGAATCACGCTGGCGTCAGGAGCCGCTAATGTGACGCAGCGGCGTTGCTATGACAACGGAAAAACGGACGCGGCTGGTGAGTTGGGTAGCGGGCAGATGGAGGGGACCGCCTCGGATGCTCCTCTTCCTCCAGCAAGAGAGGAAGGGGGCAGTGGAGGGTGCCCCCCCTAGTCGAGCTTCTGACCCCGTGACCCTTTCTGGACTCACTGAGTGAAGGCAGAAAACAGCTGTAGTAGAGGTGGAGTAAAGCTGTAGTAGAGGCGGAGTAGAGTTGTAGTAGAGGCGGAGTAGAGCTGGAGTAGAAGAGTCCCTTGTCAGTGCCTGCAGGGAGCACCAAACAAAGCAACCTGGGGACTAGTTGGGCTTTCTTGGAGAGATCCAACCATAATTCTCCATTGCAAGGTCTACATCTTAGCTTGAGGTCCCCATGCTTTTAAGATCAGGGTCCTCATTCCAACCTCATAGGGCATTTTGGAAGCAGAGGAGCCTGACTTAGTTAGGGAGGCTGAGAATGAGATGGGACCGATTGGCCAGGTTAAGTTAGAGCTTAACTGTGGTTTGTTGCATCAACTGCAGTTGGTTGGGTGCCCAGTATGCCAAAGCCATACCTGACTGGCTCTAAGGCATCTTCTCTTGTGTTAAGGTTTTTTTCTCTTTATAATTCCTTCTTTTTATAGTGAGCCGCACAAGGTCACTCTGCAAATTGGGCAGCCATTTAAGAAAGAAAGAAATAGAATGAATAAACTGCTAGCTTTAATGACTTCCGTTCTTACAATATTCTAAGCTTGCTTCCAGGGAAACTCTAGTACAGGATAGAGTAAGAACCCAGCAGTCGTGGCTTGGCTGATAAACTGTGATTTGAAAGTCATAGTTGGATTACAGGGAATGAATCTTGCAGAGATTAAATAATGTACTGTATACTGCCCAGAGTCTCTCCTTGAGTTAGGTGGACAGTCATCTAGAAATGAGATTTATAAATGGACAGAGAGATTAAAGATAGATAGATAGATAGATAGATAGATAGATAGATAGATAGATAGATAGATAGATAGATAGATAGATAGATAGATAGATAGAGATAGATAGATAATGGATGGATGGATGGATGGATGGATGGATGGATGGATGGATGGATGGATGGATGGATGGATGGATGGATGGATGGACAGTCAGACATATGTGGTGTTCTTCATATATTGGACCACATCTCCTCAAAACCTTTGCCAGCATGGAGATTTCGCCTGGGAATCTGGGACCCCAGAAGCTCACTTGCAGGATTTTGAGCTATTGTTTCTTCCTCCGCTTCATTTACCTGGCAGGATATGGAGAAATTTAGGGGACTAGAAGCTAAAACATAGGAAGAACGGTTGCTGGAATTGGGTATGTCTAGTTTAATGAAAAGAAGGACTAGGGGTGACATGATAGCAGTGTTCCAATATCTCAAGGGTTGCCCCAAAGAAGAGGGAGTCAAGCTATTCTCCAAAGCGCCTGAAGGACAAGAAGAAATGGATGGAAACTAGCCAAGGAGGGAAGCAACCTAGAACTAAGGAGAAATTTCCTGACAGTTAGAACAACTTGCCTCCAGAAGTTGTGAATGCTCCAACACTGGAAGTTTTTAAGAAGGGACTGGACAGCCATTTGTCTGAAATGGTATAGGATTTCCTGCCTGAGCAGGGGGTTGGAGTAGATGGCCTGCAAGGTCCATTCCAACTCTATTATTGTTGTTGTTGTTGCTGTTGTTAAATATAAGGAAGAATGGGAGGCAAGTCAAGTGATAAATAAACAACTCTTGATTATTATTTATTCCTTGTCTTCTCTTCTCCTTAGGCTCTAGCTACCTTTCTATACCAAGAGATTCTTCCTTCTCATGGCGGGTTCACCTTCCTTTCCTGTTGAACCACCGGGGAAGACCGTCAGCATCACTGTGCTGGAGGGCCATGACTTGGTAATTGCCCTCTTATAGTTCACACTGGAATTCCTGGATTGAGGATCATCAGAGTGCATCACCTAGCTGAATGCCTATCATCCCAGAATGTTCAGGTTTTTTAAATCAGTACAATTAAAGGGCATAATATTTTACTAATTGAACCACATATTAATATCTTATTTTCCAAGGCACTTAAAAGCTGGTTACTGGCTTCTGGATTTATTTTCTTTGAGATTACTGGTCCCATCTGTAATTGGTTTGGGATGCCAATTGCCTGAGGAAGAAAAAACATTAAATTGCTTGAAAGCAGCTTTCTCATTAAAAAAAACAACATTTTGTAGAGAAAAGTAAAAATTAGTTTTGCTCTGGGAGGTGACGCTACCACTTGTCCTGTCCTCAGTGTTGTGGTCTCTCTTCTGTAGAAAGGCCTCAAAGGAGACAGTCCGGTTACATTTGTGCGCATTGAGTACAATGGCTTCGTCCTTGGTGATTCCCCCAAAATGGATGCCTCTGCGGAAGGATACGTGAAGTATAATTTCACCACCTCTTTTGACAGCCATCCTGAAGGGTTCCACACCTTGGATGATATTGCCCATAAACCTGTGATATGTGAGTAACACTACCTCTGCTCTTTAACTTTAACGGCTGAGAAAGAATACAGGTAATCCTCAGCATGCAATCATTCATTTAGTGACCATTTGATGTTGCAATAGCACTGAAAAAAGTGACTTACAACCGGTTTTCATACTTAGCGACCGTTTCAGCATCCCCACGATCACGTGATCAAAATTCGGACGCTTGGCAACTGGCAGGTATTGGTGACGGTTGCATTGTGCTGCGGTCACGTGATCACCCTTTGTCACCAGCCACCTTCCAACAAGCCAAGTCAATGAGAGAGGTCCGATTCGGTTTACGACCGTGTGATTCGCTTAGCAACCGCAGTGATTTGTTTGGCCACTGTGGCAAAAAGAGCGTAATGTGGAGCACAACTCGCCCAACCACCGTCTCGCCTAGGCAACAGCAATGTTGGCTTCCATTGTGGTCGTAAACTGAGGACTACCCATAGGTCCTTTTCGTTTTGCTGAGGTAAAAGTATCTGTTGCGGGTGATGGCATTCAAGTGGAAGCACCGCCGGTCATTGTCAGGGATGCTTCTGTTTGAATTTGTGCACTGAGAAGATTCTAAGTCTAGCGATCATCCACTCAGTAAAATTAAAGTAATACGAGTAGTCCTCAACATACGACTGGTTTGAGGTTAGGACAGATCCAAAAAAGAGGGCTTATGACCCAGATTTGAAGATCTGAGAGCTGGCTCCCCTCCATAATCACGTGACTGAACTTCAGGTGCTCAACAACATGGCTGCTTTTGCGGCCATTTGCAGGGTCCTGTTGTCATGTGATTTTTACAAGGGTTTTGCTGGAAACTGGTGCTTCCATTTTCTGGCAATACTGTGCCCCTAAGCAAACCACTGTTTTGCTTTATGACCACCTCAAACAACATTGTAAAATCGGGTTGGTCACGTGATTGGCATGTTTTATGACCATGACATACAGCTAGAATGGGCAGGCTCCCTTACGGTCATATGTCGAGGGTAACCAATAAATGCTTTGCACCCAAACGTGACAGCCAGCCTTACAGACTCCAGTAAAGCACATGTGTGAAGCTATGGTAGCTTATTCAACAAAGGCTGGTTAAAAGAAATGGTGGCCTACCGCACTGGTGGAATAAGAGGCGTGTGTCAGTGGTGAAAAGGTCATTGCTCCTTCTGAAAAGCAGTCGGGTTATAAAGTGCTGCTGTATTATAGAATAGAATAGAATAGAATAGAATAGAATAGAATAGAATAGAATAGAATAGAATAGAATAGAATAGATCTGGAAGGGACCTTTGAGGTCTTCTAGTCCAGCCCCCTGCTCAAGCAGGAGGACTTATACTGTCTGAGACAGGTGAATGTCAAGTCTCTTCTTAAAAATCTCCAGTGATGGAGCGCCCACGATTTCTGGAGGCAAGCTGTTCCACTGGTTGATTGTCCTCACTGTCAGGAAGTTTCTCCTTAATTCCAGGTTGCTTCTCTCCTTGGTCAGTTTCCAACCATTGTTTCTTGTCCTTCCCTCTGATGCTTTGGAGAATAACGTGACCCCCCTCTGCCTTGTGGCAGCCCCTCAGATACTGGAATACTGCTATCATCTCCCCTATTTCTTCTTTTCTTTAGACTGGCCAAACCCAAGTCCCGCAGCCGTTCTTCGTATATATTTAGTCTCCAGGCCTTTGATCATCTTAGTTGCTCTTCTCTGATTTTTTTCCAAGGTCTCAACATCTTTTTTGTGATATGGTGACTAAAATAGGCTGCAGTATTCCAGGTGTGGTCTTACTATCTTATTGCTATGATTGAGTGGTTTTTTATGCTCGGTTTCCCCAGTCACTGTGATTGAAGTCTTGCCAAAGGAGAAGAAGCAAAAAGACGAAAAAGTGGTGTCCCTCGGACAGGCCGTGGCGGACCTTCTCCCTCTCCTGCAAGGTGAGTGAAAGAACAAACCTGTGCTGGATTGTCGTCTGGAACTGCAGAGAGTGAAGAGGCCAGGGAGCTTGGACTGTCTGGTAGGCAGGAGGAGGGCAAAGATGGACCCTCCCTAGCAGTTCACAGAGTGTATTTAGAACAGGTGGTCCTTGACTTACGACAGGTCATTTGGTGACCGTTCAAAGTTACAACGGCACTGAAAAAAGTGACTTATGGTCATTTTTCACACTTGCAGCATCCCCGTGGTCACGTGATCAAAATTCAGATGCTTGGCAACTGGTTCATATTTATGACAGTTGCTGTGTCCTATAGGTAGGTAGGTAGGTAGGTAGGTAGGTAGGTAGGTAGGTAGGTAGATAGATAGATAGATAGATAGATAGATAGATAGATAGATAGATAGATAGATAGATAGATAGATAGATAGATAGATAGATAGATAGATAGATGATAGATAGATAGATAGAGGTTGAGATAGATAGATTAAAAGAGATAGATAGATAGATAGATAGATAGATAGATAGATAGATAGATAGATAGATAGATAGATAGATAGATAGATAGATAGATAGATAGATAGATAACCTTTATTGTCATTTTTTACTGTGGGCACAAAGGCACACATTAAAAAAATGAAGTTTAGTTGCTTGGTCTCAAAGTGCACATACATAACACATTTAAACATAATATATACAACATATGTATAGAGCTACATCCTTACATATAAGAACATATAAATATTAATTACTGTCCATCTTGAATACATAACGGAAAGAGGAAGCTTTAGAGTTCACAAGGTTAATACTGTACGGAACAAAACTGTGACTGAATCTGGATGTTCCGCTTCGGATACCACGGAGCCCCCTCCTCCCAGAAGGTAACAAGGAAAACAGGTTGTGGAGAGGATGTGTAGACAATCTTACGGACGCTGCTCATGTGCTATGTCCTCTTTTCTCTGCAGGATTGTGTACATTCAGTGCAACACTTCCCCTGTATCCATTGCCTGGTTCTCCTCTGGAGGCCCTCCGAGCAGAAACCAAGGTATTTATTTTTTTAACAAAAAGGAATATAGAGATATGCTTCCCAATTGTAAATCCCCTATCTTAGAGGGGACTTGGAAGTAGTTTAGGTGGAATAGAGGGTAAATCATTGAAATTTGAATGAGATCTTCAACATTTATTGTAAAAAAAAAAAATTAGTAGAGTGCTTGGAAATGTAATTGTGTCATTCTCAAAAAAAAATAAAAAGCTTTTGTTTCTATATAGGGCCCCCCGAGTCTCCATTTAGTAATAATAAAATTTAATGAAAAGGGATCTAGACACTAAACTATGAACGACTGAGAGAACTAGGCCTGTCTAGACTAACAAAAAAAAAAGACTAGGGGGAAAATGATAGCCATCATCCAATACTTGAGGGCCTGTCAGAGAGAATTAGGGATCAACCTATTCTCCAAAGCACCTGCGGGCAGGACATGAAATAACGAATGGAAGCTTATCAAAGAGAGATCCAACCAAGAATTAAGGAGAAATTTCCTGACAGTGAGAATAATTAACCAGTGGAACAGCTTGCCACCAGAAGTTGTGGGTGCTCCATCACTGGAGGTTTTCAAGAAGAGATTGGACAGCCATTCTTCTGCAATAGTATAGGGCAGGGGTAGGCAACCTTGGCTCTTTTATGACTCGTGGACTTCAACTCCCAGAATTCCTGAGCCAGCCACGCTGAGGGGAAAGGGAGAGGTTTCCAAGCTGAGCCATGCTGGCTCAGGAATTCTGGGAGTTGAAGTCCACCAGTCATAAAAGAGCCAAGGTTGCCTACCTCTGGCCTAGGCCTAGGCCGCTTTATGACTCGTGGACTTCAACTCCCAGAATTCCTGAGCCAGCATGGCTCAGCATGGAAACCTCTCCCTTTCCCCTCAGCGTGTCTGGCTCAGGAATTCTGGGAGTTGAAGTCCACGAGTCATAAAAGAGCCAAGGTTGCCTACCCCTGGTATAGGGTGTCCTACTTGAGTAGGAGGTTGGATAAGAAGACCTCCAGGATCCCTTCCAGTCTTGTTATTTTGCATTCTCTCATCTTGTCGCTGAAGCTCCACAAATACAAGTGCGCTCCTTATAAGGGACTTAGCTAAATCTTCCATATTTAACCATGGGTCCAGTGGCTGGAATCTTGTGTGTGTTTACTTCAGTGCCGTGGAGGATAAGCCCATACTCTCTTTCTTGTGACAACACTTTGTGTATTGAATGATTGCTATCATGTCTTCTCCTTAGCCTTCTCCTTTAAGCTGAACATCCCAAGTTCCTCTAACTCAGGGGTCCCCAACCTTAGCAACTTTAAGACCTGTGGACTTATAACTCCCAGAATTCCCCAGCCAGCATTAAGCCTGCTTTGATTTTGCAGTGTTCCATCGATGTCTTAGTATCTGTCCAGGAGAGCTTATTGACTCAAAACCAGCTGTCCGAAGGCAACCTGCTGAGAGTGACCGTAGAAGCTCTCTATTCTGCCCCCGAGGCATTTCTCTTCACAGGCCCCCAATATAATTACATGCTTGGCTTCCAGGTGCCAGCAGTTGGTGAGGTGAGTTGCTGAAATCCCACATTCTTTTATTCCTTTTTTCTCCCCGTCTGTTTCCTTTGCCTTTCAGTCTGGCCAATGTTGCTTTTCATTATCAGCCCATCTAAAATATAAGATGTGCTGCAGGTCCCAGTAGAAGCACATTGAGCTCCTGAGAGACATCAAAGGTTAAACTTCATGGCTTCAAGGTTCTGATTTGAACCCTTCACCGGCTATGCCTGATCGAACTTATTTCCCCAGGCTTTTACTGCTCTTCTAGGAATTTGGCTTTTGAGTTGAAATAATTCCGTTAGCATATCTCAGTCAATCGTGCATTGTGTTAGTAACTTGGTCTTTCCATAGTCTCTCTTCTGAGATCCATCTGAATTTAGAAATGAAGCTACCTTGATAGAGTTAATTAACTGTGATTCTCCAGATCCAGGTTTCATGCACGTCTGGAAGGGATGAGCTTGGTTAGGAAACAGGGCCTAATAATTCCGTGGCCTCCATGCCAGACTGATATATCCTAATTTAGAGAGCAACCTTTGTAGAGTTAAATCAAATAAATAAATAAATTACAAGTCAAAAATTGGATTCATACATTGTCTTAAATCAAAACGGTTTGGTTTAAGACGTGAACTGGATATTATAATTTGCAAACCCTGGACAATTAGTGATGCACAAAACTTGAAGCCAGCTCACTGTGGCTTATTCTGTGATGTGTGAACTCAGAACCTGCGTTCATGAAGAGCAAGGAAGAACCAGCATGAAAATGTGCTCGTGGTACTAAACTTACGTTACAGGTAAGAGGTTTTTCCATTTTCTTTGTAAAAACAGGAAAAAATGGAAACTTGCCTCACATACATAAGAAGCTCCTTGCAAATTAAAGAGCCCATATAAACGTTGGTTTAGGTAATCCCCCTTCTGTAGCTATTTTAGAGGATGTTTTTCCAAAATGTAACCCTGTCCAATTTATTTTCATTATGGAATGGCTGAGTTCACAGAAGACATTTAACCTGAAATGAATTCAGCCCTTTCTGAGCTTCCATATGAATAATCTACTAACTAAATGGGTTGCTCCATGCCAGCACCAAGCAAAAACAAAAGTTTGAAGTTCTGGGTGAATAGGTTGTAAGAATGCAACTGCTAGCTCTTTATCACTGTACCGGTATGAATGACTTGTTAACTCTGTGAATTCAAGGATTTTTGTCCTATGACCTTTCCAGAAAGAATGTCCCTTCCTGTTCAAGAATGGGACCCTGAAAGGTGGTGGTGAGAGAGAAGCTCTGCCTCGGCCCAAGAAGTGGCCAGTGGCCAACATTTTAGCCCCTGCAGGACAGAACATCCCAGATGCTCTCATTGTCGGTGGGGCCTTTGAGGAGGAAGATGGAGAACTGAATACTCCAGAGGTGAGTATGGCAGAGCTGGAGAAGCAGATTCCTTAGAACAGGAGTGGTGGTCCTCCAGATGTGGGTCAGCTACAATTCCCAGCTCTCTTCTCCTTTGGCAATATCAGTGAGAGTGTAGCACACGGGTAGTCAACCTTGGCTCTTTTATGACTCGTGGACTTCAACTCCCAGAATTCCTGAGCCAGCTAAGCTGGCTCAGGAATTCTGGGAATTGAAGTCCATGAGTCATAAAAGAGCCAAGGTTGACTACCCCTGGTGTAGTATCAGCATCAGTCCCAGTTGCCACCTGTTCCATCTACCTGGGCCTATAAAAACTAGTGTACTAGATCAGATCAATGGCTTCTTTCTCCCTAGAGTCCTTTTCCTCTAGCAGCTAAGGATAAGCATAGATTTGGGTTGATTATGATATTCATCCCATTGTGGGTTCCATTGTACAAAATAGGCAGTATCAGTTGATGGCAAGCTTCTTCCAAGGCCTGGTGCCCCCTATCATTCTTTATGTTATTTCTTCCTCAGAAGAAAGACTGTCCCTGCTATTAGTTGTTCTTCTTCTTACTTTTTCTGTCTCGTGTTATTTTTTTCACCTAGTCCAGTGGTGGCGAACCTATGGCACGCGTGCCAGAGGCGGCACTCAGAGCCCTCTCTGTGGGCACGCGCACCGTTGCCCCAGCAGAGTTCGCCAGAGTAGTGAGCATGTGGCGTTTGGACAGGGCAGGAAGTGAGCAAACAAGCGGCGTTGGCCCCCCGGGGATGCCCCAGAGATGGCGAAGGACTGGCACCCTCCGCCCTGGCCCCGGCCACACTCACCCAGTCTGCCGTGACCACTGCAGCCATGCCCACCCAGTGGGCCACGCCCCTCTGCCCCCCCCCCGAGGGCACCACAATGCTGAAGCAGCCCTGGCACTTTGCAATAAATAAGTGGGTTTTGGGTTGCAGTTTGGGCACTCGGTCTCTAAAAGGTTCGCCATCACTGACCTAGTCCATCAACAAATACTGGTTCCAGTCTATTTTCTTGATTTGTTGAACTCTAGATCTGAACAGACTGGGTTCTTTTCTCCCCCTCCTCCTCCTCCTCCTCCTCCTCCTCCTCCTCCTCCTCCTCCTCCTCATTCCCTTCT